CACTACCCAGATCTGGGTAGTGACGCGTCATCAGTATGGAATTTCTAAGCTCGTTTCTCAGACGTCATTTGGCAGGGAAACCAGTGGTAGCGTCGTCAAATGTTTGTTTGTTTGTTTTCTCAGGCTAGCTATTAGTAGCTACTAGTAGCTTTTGCCCTTATTTGCCAGGAAATGCAATACGAGTTTTAGGTATATTGTAAAATTCGCACGGATTAAAACGTGCCTCCAGATTCAACGCAATATTGGCAAGATAATGTTCATAAAAAAATAATTGTAATTGATATTCTATTCTCATAAACGAAAATTCACCCAAGGAAAATGAAATTTCATTCGCACTAAAGAATGTTGTTTTCGATAAAATGCTATTGCAATTGGCCTCAATGATTGTTTTTCTTGATGCAAAAATCTTTAATGATTATGCCACGTTAATTGATAACATTTATGGCACATTTGTTACTGTTACAGTTTCTGAGTAATAAGGGCCATGTTCCGAATAAGTACCTTGTCTCGAAAACTTGAATTTTTGTTTACACTTTGACGATTTTGGCGATTAATCGCCATTTCTGACATTATCGCCAAATACGCCTTTTTCGCCAAAATTGCCACTTTCCAAAGGGCCCCTTTGCCATCTCATTTGAATTTTGTTTAGCTGAAAATGAGAACAGAGAACTGCAAACGCGCATTTAAGCCCCGTGATTTAAAAAAAGAAAAAATACTCTTCAGCAGAAATGCAGAGTTTGTGCCCATGGTGTCATGGCATTGTTGTTTCCGATTTGCCACTTTAGAAACGAAAACAGAACTGGAGCAGAAATGTATCCCACAATTGTTTCTCAGTTGGTCACAGAGAACGCGCCAGTTAACGGCCATTTTTTCCGCCCTGTCTCAGTAACAGAATAACTCGACCCAGTTCCTTCTCGTTTCTAAAAAGTGGCTAGTATATAGATTAGAAGGCGTAGTAGAGTGTTTGTGACGTGCATAATAGGAACTTTAAGATCCTAGACTACGAGTAGTCCACCATTTTCCCTCAGGTATAGTAGAGCGAGCGGAACGCGAGCGCGCGTGAAAATTCGCGTCTCGCCTTTCTCGCGTGGAGTGATTTTTACGTGTACTCGCCTTTCGCTCACTCGACTATCCCTGAGGGAAAATGGGGAGTACTCTTAGTCTGTTAAGATCCAACGAAGTGACAGCTGACAGCAACGAGAACGTCGCTTAAAAAAAGAATTCGCGTTTTTTCAGTCTTTATCACAATTATTCCTACCCACTTACTTTGTCAAATGTAGGCGAACCCCTCTGGAGTTGAATTCCTAGGGACCACTATATTCAATTCGAGAAAGAGAAATAAAATTTCGTCGTTGCTTGTTTACGTACTCTATAAAACACGAAATAGGCATTTTCACGTCGTAGTCGTGCAAAACGGGCAAAGAAATGTACAAATGAGTGTGATGCACGTGCAAAGTTGTTGTTTTGCTTATAAAACCGTTTGTCTCTTTGACGTTCTCGTTGCCGTCCGCGTCGTTGGATCTTAAAGTCCCTAGTATTGTGGATGGCGAACCCCTTAACAGTAAATCCCTCCGAGAATTCTGCTAAGCAGCCGGGTAAACTCCCTTTGATCAGAATTGATATCTTGTGAGGGGGAGTCTACGCGAATGGAGGGTCAATGTTGGAGAGAAACAAGAAATCACCAACAGAATCTAAGGGAACACTCACAGGCCTTAAGTGAACTTCATCGGCAGGCCGATCGGATCGATGCGTGACTGAAACCGAACAAAAATCAGAAACAAAGAAGCGTTGCCTATTTTAGAGAAAAGAAGGAACAAATTTTTGATGACGTTGCTGGTCCCTTAAAGAAAATGGCGATTCCGCAACATGACCCATGGCACAAAATAACAAAATTACACAATCGCGGACACAAAATACCAAGACGGTTTACACAAGCAGATGAAAACAACAACAAAGTTCTCATATTTATGACCAAATTAGCGATGTGTAGCAGTATTTGCCTCGCTATTAATCTTTTTCCCGACCTCTCTTGTTCGAATGGCGGTGGCCGCTTGTGCTAATTTGCACAAGCGACCCGCAGCTCTCGTCCATTACTATGTGACGTCACACTGGCACGCGGAGTGCTTGAAGAAACGTGGTTGGAAAACCAAATAGTTATCTCCTTCCTCTCCCCTCCCCATGGGCTGATCCTATATGTGCTTACATGCCTGAAAAGGATAATATTAAAGTTGGTACCTAAGCGGTTGCTTACCGTGTGGCTCGAAATTTTTGCGAGAGTTTGTTTTTGCAGATTGGCGATTTTTTGTGTTTTGCGGGAACTAATTTTTGCAATTAGGACAGATTCACTGCACGAAAAATCTGATTTACGCTAAATTTACGCAGTGCAAATTTGGTGCAAAAAAGTGCAAACTAAGATTAAATAAAAGGCAAAGATGGTAAATACCGCATTTGCCCTCAAATTTACAACCCCATGTAAATTGGCAAGCAAATGCAGTATTTACCACCTTTGCTTTTGATTTCCCCCTAGTTTGCACCTTTTTGCACATATTTGCAACGAGTAAATTTGTGTAAATCCAATTTTTCGTGCAGTTATTGGATTTTCTTAAATGTATAAAATGTCGTTAAGTCCACAGCAACAAACCAATGAGTGGTAGCGAAACCGAAATATTGGGCAATTTGTTTAAATATTATATTTTTTGTTTTATTCTTTTGTTTACTTCTTCATCGCCTTGCCTTAACGATCAGTTTGCTGTTTCATATTTTTCTTGGATTTTCTTGCTGGGAAT